TCAGACAGTGTCTATAGTTTCTATACCCTGCTACTACCTATTCAATATCAAAAACCGACTGGCCTGGTGGGACACCAAGGCAAATTTCGGTGATCCGTTACAATAATAGATTAAATCAACAGATAATATTTTAGAAATTAAAAATATAGTATATGAAATAACATAAGAATATAATATATATAATGCACAAATAAGTATATTAATTATTTGCTCGTATTATTTTAAGTATAATAATAATAATAATCGATAATTTAATAGTATTATGAAGTGATCAAGTGTATTCCTGATAAGCTATTATATATTTTGTTCAGACAATTTAAGCGATGTACAAAATATATATGTATAGGTATATTTAAACAGGAGAATAGCCTATAAAGAAATTTATTTATAAGCTATAATTATTATTTTTGATACTCGGAATAACCAATAACAACAGCACTGCACACAGGTGGTGAAGTGTTCGGTCGCACCTATTATAGACAGCAAAAACAATGTTGTAATGTACCGTAGTTCCATGTTTTATTTTATTTATTTGAGTTAAGTGAGACTAAAATATTATAGACAAGCTAGTTATGTTATTTTTATTTATTTATTTTATTTACCTTAACCCTACACCATACAGCTTTTACAATAACTTAGAATAGATACCAATTTCACAGTTTTTTGAAGCTCTATGAAATAGCATTTTCTGAGATGTTTAAACTGTGTAGTGTAGCTTAGTAATTACGACTTTTGTTTCAACTGCAACTTGTGAATGCACATTTTCATATATGAAAGAGTAAAAAACTATCTAAAGAATTCTATAAATCATAACTTTATGTCCAGCTTAAGTATAATTTCAATCGAGAAGGATAGGTTGAAGCAAAATAATTGAATATAGAAGAAGTTACTGATGCATTTTCTATTCAACATAAAAATAGGAGGATAACGTTAAAATAAATTACATATACATGTATTATAATATTTATACTTATATATTTCAATGAATATTGAATAATTTTATATAAAAATAACATGTTAACATGTTCAAAACTTCAATCTAATTTTTCTCAAAAATTATTAATTATGATTCAGTCATTAATTTAATATTGTTATTTATTATTAATTTATCATGTTTATAATAAATTATAAGTCGGTATAGCTACATTAAATTATAAATTAGTAGTTATTCCATTATAGTTTTATTTTATTATTTAGATAGTTAAAAGTGTATTTGGTAGCTGGCAGGAGCCCAAGATTTTACACATTATTACTTGTTTCTATTATAATATATTGGCCCTTCAGTAAAATTACGTGTTTCAAGTTGGCCCTACAGGTATAAAATCCTGGCGCCATCACTGAGATGCAATGATTGAACTGTTCAAATTAGTTACTAAGATATGTTACACAATTTTACTAACTCATCAATGATATGGGATAAGTTACAAAACATTATGATGGATATGAAGGCATCGATTTCTTGAATACTGTAAAGGAATTGAAGCTTGTGGTTATTATCAAATGTGTTAGGGAATGGGTATATTAGGATTAAAAAAGTTGTTGATTGTTAAAGAAAAAACTAGACAAAACTTAACACGAATTTTGGAATTTTTAATTGTATTCTAATCTGCTTACTTTATTTTATTATATTATTATTTGATTAATACCTACTAAATATTATGTTATTCAAATTTTGGAATTGAAATTTATCATTATTTTGAAATATCTAATTAATACATATCAAGTAATTATTTGCTAAAAATCAAAATTTATTGTAGCCTATGATATTTATTTATTTTCAATATTTTAATTTTTATTATTAAATGAAAAATTTTATAACCTTAAATATTAATCATGCAGAATATTGTAACTCTATAGTACGACATTTTCTTTCTTATTCAATTACATGGAAACAGAAATTTTTATCGGTTCCGTGCAATTCCGCAGAGGACAGGTTTACTGTACACCATTTTTCCTTAATGCGGTCTGTTTAATTTGCAATAATACGATTTTTTCCGTATAAAGTAAATGATCGTTAGGAGAGACGGTTGTTGTCGAACATACAATAAGTATAGAACATTATACACATTTATTATGAAAATATTTTAACAGTTATTATAAATTCATTATTTTAACAATGACTGTTTTTGGATATTAATTTCAATTCCCCATTTACTGGAAATTCCGACAAGTTACAAATTACAACTTTTTTTGTTGACAACTGGTTGATCACGTAAAAATTTTTGTTAGTACCTAAATTTATATATTGTGTATACCTACTTATTACTTATTAGTTTATAATAAAAATTTTAATATCTTCACCCTTCATCAATAATGAATCACCATGTACTTGTTCGCCCAAATGTGTAAATTTACGAAATAACTGCTTGGTCCACACGCGATGTGTGTTATGTCCCCACTCATACTTTCTAATGACCTAAAAGTATCATGAAATAATTGCAACTCCTTCATTGTATTTTATTTTCTATATAATTAATAGTTAGATATTAATTTTTATAAAAAGTTAAAAATTAACTTTGTAATTAGTTAATACTTGGCTTTTACATGTACTATAGCTACACCACTATAGGTATTTCAGTACTTGGATATCATTGAATTAATAATACATTGTAAATAATATAAATTTTAATATTTAATTTAATTTTATATCGTAATATTCATTGAATGAATGTCGAAAAAAGATAAAAGAAACAACACAGTTAGATACTTACATAGCTAATATTTAAACATAACAAAAACAAATATCTATGTATAAAAGCTTAATTATATAAGTAGGTACTAAGAATGCAAGTACCATGCTTACAAAATATTTGTGACACAAATAATAAAATGTAGTAAACACAATGAACATATTGTGCCTTCTCATAAACATCAATAAATTACTGTACAACATTGTTATAGAAATACATAATTGCGTTATTTACATTTCCAATAACAATATGATGTACCTAACAAATATTGGATATAATATAATCTAACCTAATATATTAATTCTATGTTTAAAAATAATTTTTAATATTTTTTGATTAATGAGGTTTTAAAAACATGCATACATATTATTTATTAATAAGATTGATAAAGCTATATGAAACTCAAAAATTGCATTCATTTTCTCGATACACATATAAGTTATAAGATAGAAGGTCATATTTTCTACTTCATGTTTCTTAATGGGATGTATTATTGATGTTTAAAATAATAAGATTTTACTAACAATGTCAGTCTCTATAAAATATAGATATTACCAAAAACATAAATAACATACAACACAATTAAACTTCATGTAGATAGGATACGACAAAAATTCTAAAACTTTATTCTGTAGTATATAAAAATTAAATATACTCATATTCTTGTCAATATATGTTATATATGTTATTGTTCATTTAACAAATGTTTCTTTTTAAACAATCTTTGAAGAATATATTGAAACAGCTGTGCAGCTGTACAGACTCAACTATTATTGCATAACCAAATTACAATTTATTTTAAAAATAATAATTTCAAATTACAAAATAAAACATTCCATATTATTTTAATCAATTTCAAAATTATATCATTATATTATGCGATGGATCATTAACTATAATTTATTTCACATAATACATATTAAAATACTATAAACGATTTAATAAACTAATAAATAACTAAAATTTATATCATAAAAATAGGAGTATACAAAATTCATAATTTCAAATGTTTATAAAACAGTCAGCTATAATTGCACACCATTGAAACCATTACCATCAGATTCAGAGTTCTTCATTGACTTAAAAAACTGTTTATATTAAATCTACCATGTTCTTAAGATTAAATTTTAAATGTAAAACATCTATTTTATATACCTACATTTTACAGTTTATTTCAATAAATAAAATTTACTATTTCATATTTAACATTCTAATTTTTTTTTTTGATCAACTTAAAACTTAAACTAATAGATTGGCCATGAACTATTTATTATAAATAAGTTTAATAAAAACCTAATTTTATATCATAATTATAGCAAATAAACAAAATTCAAATTTTCAAATGTTAATAAAACTGTAAGATTTGATTTTACAACTTTAAAAACATTACTATTAGATTCAGAACACAAGTTTATAAATAAGATATATCCTATTATGTTCAATATCTTAATTTGATATTTTATTTAAGTTATAAAATCTTTATTTCATTTCAGTATTCTAGTTTATTTGTCAGAAAGAAAATTTACTATTTCAAATTAAACCTTCTATTTTTCTTTACCAATTTAAAACTTATACTGTTAGAATAGCAATGAATTATTAAGTAAAATTTGAGCCATAATTTACATTTCATAAATATAAAACATTTATTAATTATAAAAACCTTATTTTATATTCTAATCATAGTAATTAAACAAAATTAAAATTTTTATAATATGTCAATACAACTGTGAATTTTTTAATTTCACATCATTTTATTCATTACCATAAGATTCAGTGTGTAATAATTACTAAAAAAAAAAAAACTCTGCTTTATCCTATAAGTTAATTTGAAATATTTTTTCAACTAAAAAACATCAGTTAATATAATTATCATAGTAGTTATTCAAAATTATAATTTTAAAATGTTTATTGAACTGTCAGTTTTGATTTCAAAACATTCTACTATTTTATTTTTATTTTTTGTGTTATAATTATTATAAGTATACTTTGTCACATCCAATTAGTAATTTGAAATTTTGTTTCATCTAAAAAACAGAATATTCTATCAGGATTGTAGCAGATATTTAAATTAAAATCTTTATACGATAATACAACTATCAGTTTTAATTTCACAATATTCAAACTATATCTATGAGATTCAGAATGAAATGTCAACTTAAAAATATATTCTATTATATTCAATAATTATGAGACTACGTTAACACTAAAAAACATAATTAAACATCAAAATCGCAGTATATATTCAAAATTAAAATTTTTTAATATTAATAAAACTGTTATCTTTAATTTTACAACCTTTAAAAAAATTACCTTCAGATTTAGAATTCATTGTAGATTAAATAACCTTTATTGTAATATTCACCATATCTCTTAGGTTTAAATTTAAAAGGTAAAATCTGTACTTTATATCCATTTCACATGTTATTTCTTTAACAAAATTTACTACCTATTTCATATTAAACATTCTATTTTTCTTTAATCAATTTAAAATGTATACTTCTAAATTAGCCACGAATCATTCAGTATAACTAAGTTTACATTATTCACATTAAATTAAAATAATTCATATATTAAACTTAAAAACTTAATTTGATATCTTATTAGTAGCAAAGGAACAATATTCAAATTTTCAAATGTTATTTAAAACGTAACAGGTTTTGATTTCATAACATTTAATTGATTCCCATAAGATTAATTATGTAAGTAAAATTATAAATATACTGTGTTATATCCAATAAGTAATTAAAGATTTTGCTTATACTAAAAAACATAATATCATGTCATAATCGTAGCAGATATAAAAAATAAAATTTTCAAATGTTATTCAAACAGTGAGTTTTGATTTCACAACATTCTAATCATTCCCATTAGATTCCGCGTGTAATAATAATTACGAGATAAATGTTCTACTTTATCCAATAAGTTAATATGAATAATTTTGAAACAAAAACTATAATTTTATATCATATTTGTAGCAAATATTCAAAATTCAAAATTACTAATGTTAATAAAACTGTCACTTTTGATTTTACAACATTCTAACTATCTCTTATAGTTTTGTTGTCTAGTGTAAATTATAAACACATCATGTTATATCCAATCAGTAATTTGAGATTTTGTTTAATCTTAAAAACACAATATATTATCATAATGGTAGGAATTATTTAAAATTCTAATTTAAATACAAACAAATGTCACTTTGATTTCACAACATTCTACTCATTTCCACAGGATTCATAGTGTAATATAGATTTAAAAACATATTCTATTTTATACAATAAGTTATTTAAGATTTTGTTTTAATTAAAACACATAATATCATATCATAATCGTAGGAGGTATTAAAAAATAAAATTTTCAAAGGTAAATAAAAAGGTTAGTTTTGATTTTACAACATTAAAACTACTCCCATAACATTCAGTATAAAATGTTAACTTAACAAAATTTTCTGCTACAACCAATAAGTTATAAAGACTTTGTTGTAACTAAAAAACTTAATATTTATCAAATCCCAACAGATATTTTAAATTAATATTTTTATATGATAGTATAACTGTTAGTTTTGATTTCACATTTAAACCATTCCTTCAAGACTCAGCATAAAATAACCAATTGTCAAACTAATTACAATTCAAAGTATTTATAAAATAAAAAATAGTATAACTAAATAATTATAATAATGTTTTTATTTTTTGTTACCAATTTCAAATTTATATAAATGAAAAAATAATAGTTTTTATGGACCAGTAAATCTATGTTAATTTTTTTTTAATTCACAAAATTAAAAAAAAAAATGGTTTCGAGGTATACATTAAGAATATAATATTAATTATGAACCAATTATCAAAGTCATAAGTGCAATAAACTTAGTTATGGAATACTTATACACACACACAAACATTGCCTTCTATTTATAAAGATAATAAATAATATAATATTTAATATATTTAAAATATAATATAAAATATAAATATAAAGCAATGCATTAGTTAATTACTAGGTAATTTATAAAAATTGTTTTTTTTAATATAATTTATGTTTATTTGAAAAACATTAAAATATTTAAATTAGTAAAAACGATAATTTTCTTATGTTATATATTATAACCAAGGAGTTATTAATTTTCGTCATCATCAGACCACCATATTTCTGAATTTTCCATCTTAATGTTTATAGTTTTTATGTTGGTTATTAATTGTAATTTTATTTTAGGTACTTCATGAGTTAAAGTTGAATTATTATCCTGCTCACATCCAATATCTTTCAATTCGACCTGCTCACATCCAATGTCTTTCAATTCCACCTGCTCACATCCAATAACTTTCAATTCAGCTTGCTTACATCCATTGTCATTCAATTCGTCCTGCTCACATCCAATATCTTTCAATTCGGCTTGCTTACATCCAATGTCTTTTAATTCAGCCTGATTACATCCAATATCTTTCAATTCGGAAATTCTCATAATAAAATCATTACTTTGTTTTATTTCAGACATTAAGCTATTATTATAATTATTATTATTAGAAGTTAGAGATGGCAAAGAAGAGCTGCTCTTACTCATCAAAGAACAATTAGAAGAGTAAACGTTTTGTTTTGTTATTGGAGTATTACAACCAATTTCTAATTTTTGAACTTCTAATTCAGAGTCGTCACTAATGCAGATATTTTCAGAGTAGTTAGAGTTTAAGGAAAGTTCGTTTGCAGAATTATATGACAGATTTGTAATTGAATCATTAAGAACACTTGAGATATAGGAACTTGACACTTGATCATCTTCTAAAAATACAATATTACTTGGTTCCCTTGGTATGAAAATATTTTTCTAAAAAAACGAAAACAATTAAATATAATTCGTAAATTAAAATAAAGATTTGAACTTACCAAATGTTTTAATTT